TTTCATATTATGAAAAATCAAATAAGCACTAATACAATAGTAGTGAGGGACCACAATACCCCACTGTCACAAATAGATAGATCAACTAGAAAAAAAATTAGCAACAAAGTACTAGAACTCAATCAAACTCTTGAACAAATGAACTTAACAGATGTTTACAGAGTATTCCACCCCAAACAATCAGAATACACATTCTTTTCAACTGCACATAGGTCATTCCAAAATAGACCATATACTTGCTCATTGAACATGTTTAAGTATGTGCAAAAGGAATTGAAGTTATCACCTGTATATTATCAGATCTTAGTGTGATGAAATTGGAGATCAATAGCAAAAGAAACCACAAGAATTTCACAAACACATGGAAACTGAACAGCACACTTCTGAATAACCAGAGGATCACAGATGAAATTAAAGAAGAAATTAGACAGTTCCTACAACTAATTGACAATGCCAGTAGAACATATCAGAATCCATGAGATACAATGAAAGCAGTCTTATGAGGGAAATTCATAGCAGTGAATATTCATCTTAGGAAAACAGAGTGAGCCCAATTAAACAACCTGATGCTGCACCTCAAGCTTCTAGAAAAAGAAGAGCAGGACAAACCCAAAACTCATACAGGGGAGGAAATTATAAAGATCAGAGCAGAAATCAATGCAATGAAGACTAAGAGAACAATACAAAAAAATCAATGAAGCGATGAGTTGGTTCTTTGAAAGAACAAACAAAATTGACAAACCCTTAGCCAACCTTTTCACAACAAGGAGAGAAAAGGCCCAAATCCATGCAATTAGGAATGAAAAGAATGAAATTACAATTGACCCAGCAGAAATCCAGAGGATCATCAATACCTACTTCCAGAAACTATATGCCAATACGATGGAAAACACAGAAGAAATGGACAGATTCCTAGGTACATATGAATTACCAAAGTTGAATGAACAAGACCAAGAATTCTAAACAACCCAATATCAATCAATGAAATTGAAAACATAATTGAAAACTTACCAAATAAGAAAAGCCAGGGTCTTGATGAATTCTACAAGACATTTAGAGAGGAACTACTGCCACTACTGTTGAAACTCTTCAATGAAATTGAAAGGGAAGCAATACTCCTGAATTCAATCTTGGAAGCAAACATCACCTTGATCCCCAAAGCAGAGAAAGACTCAACCAAAAAAGAGAACTATAGACCAATCTCACTAAT